GGGAGGCTGTCGGCAGGAACGGCTTGTTTGAATTGTACAATTGAACGGCTGTGGGTACTTGGGAATTTTTCTCCCTCCTCCCTCGTTATTTGGGGGGGCGGAGGGGGGCCGTGAACACTGCGTGTAGCAGAGTGCTTTCCTGCGGGCTTCCACTCAAAATTGCGCGCAGGCAAGTTGTTGGCTTCTGGGAGCGCCGGCTCTCCCCTCTGCGTTGCTGACGGCGGGAGCGCGGCCTAAAGTCACAGCCTGTGGCGGAGATCGGTAGCCAAGTTCATGAACTCGGTTACCCAGAAGCAGAGTTTAAAATAAGCGATATATTGTAATTCGGTCACTGCACACAATTCCAGTACGTGAAGCGGTCCCCTCATTTAAACTATAGTTACCAAGTGTAGGTATTGGCCTTAATTATTAACACATATCTCCATCCCTGAACTCCATTGCTCACCAGAAACCCTCAAACAACAACAAAACCCTCAAACAACAACAAAACGGTATGTGCTTCGCAAATGCAGCAGCTTTGTGCTCCAGTCACGCTGCGCTTACTTCCCCTTCTGCCAACTGCCACAGGACACCCCTTCCTTACCCCCGCCTGGAGAGGTGCTGAGGGAAAAACACCACTCGTTAGTGGTGGTTTTGATCACTAGTGTTGTAATGATCACTTGATCATTAGCTTTGTGAGGGGTCTGGCCTGTGTGCACATAAATCAGGAACAGTATTTGCAATGAAACAGCCGTCTATCTTGATCTGAACAAGCGGATGCGAAAGTGTTTCCAAGAAGGAGGTACGGAGCCATGGACTGGGTCTCCTAAGATCTCATTGTAAAATGTTCTCAAAAGGTAGTGATGAAAAGTCCGTCAAAAGGACTGTATGTTACCTTCCGTCGAAGATTAATGTACTGGTAGCTCTGCAAGTATTTAAATCTGAAAAAAGTGTTTGGTTTATACGAAATAAACGCTACTGAACATGAGAATTTTAAAACAAGTTAAAGCCTCGTAGGCCTTCTGTACTCATGACAAGATTGTCTCCTGTCCCTCATTCCTTCTTTTTTTCTGCTGTTAACACCACCTTTCCTTCCCCTTACATGTTAAGCTACTATAAACTACAGATTTACATTCCGTTTTTATCTTCACTTCTCACTACACCACTGCTTTGCTCGCTCATATCCCAAATTGCCATGATATAAAAACTGATAAAAGATTCCTGCTAGGAAATACTTTCTGCTTCTACGTCAGCATGAAGAGTTCTCGAAGTTAGTCTAGTCCAAGCCTCAAGACAGCAATACTGAGGTCCGGGCTAATGATGAGATTAGGAAATACTTTCCTACTAAGTATTAGAAATAGCAACAAATTTACTTAACTTGTGGAGATCTGGGAATTCCTTTTTTCCAGTCATGCTCAGCACTCCCATTTTAACAAACTGCAAGATGTAGTTTATCATTGCAAAATTCTCATAAACTGGAAGGTTATTTTTAGATCCTGTAGAGAGATTTCCAGACCGTTACATATAAATTCTGTCCCTCTGTCTATAGCTGGAAGGGCAAATGTTACAGTGTGGGAAAAATAGTGCCTGTAACTTTAAAAAGAATATTTTTAAATATTATTTATAATAATAATTTCTATTTATAATAATTTAAAAGAATAAAGACTATTTCTAAATTAGTATGAAGTCTCCCGTGTCCCCCAGTAAAAGTTAAATGTAATAAAAAATGGTGAGTCATTATTGAGTTAATTTATAGGTTTTTTTAGGAAAAATGCACAATTCACTTATACTTTTTATTCTAAGCTTGCATAGACAAAATATTAATGTCACCTACACATTAGGCATGCACTCAGTCCTGCTCTTGATTCCCACCGGAGCTGACGTTGACTTCAGGGCAAGTGAGACTGGGCCCTGAACTGGTTATTTTGGGTCAAGTTTTTTTTGGTGTTAGTGTAAATGAGCTTTGTCAGATATAGGAACAAAGTCAGAAGTCTCGTTTATCAATATAAATTTTTTGGTCCAGGTCAATGATAACAATTTTGTACAACCCCATTTCATTTTTGTGTTTGTACTGTGGACAAGTAGATAATTTTGGACAGAAAGGGCACTTTGAAGTTTGTAAGCATCAGAACCACCTTATTTTGAATATTGCAAATGTTTTCTACTTTTTCCTATACTTTGGCTTAAAGCCAATGCCTTAATGTTTTGCTGCAACATTCACATTTCATTGTTTTTCAGTAAGAAATGTTACATGATAGAAATATTCTTCAGCAGCTCTGTGTTTTATCCATTATACAGTTCTCTTCATCCTGAACGAGATGATTTGTTTAACTAGCATATGATTATATTTCAGTAAGTATGAGGATTAGACCTGCATCATTTTTCCAACTGCTTGACGAGAGAAAAATACAGCAACAATCAAAAATAAACATGTGAAGCTGCCCAGTGAAAAGGTGTTTAAAAGAAAACCTTGTCCTCTGTCCAAATAGCAGCAGAAGTTACTCCCTTGATAATCTCTTATCTTCCCGCCCTACGCAACCCATTTTCTCCCCATGCTCAGAACTCCAGCTTGTTTCCTAGCCACATTTAAAAAGTGAGAGGAAAAAAACATTACTTTAAAAAATTCCATTGGAAATAAAAGTCATTTTTAAGCATCCACAACAAATAAGTTTTTAAGAATATTTATTCTTTACAAGCTCTACAAGCTCTAGATGCCTCAGATTTAGCTGTGTTGGTTTTTATGGTTCCTTCTTTAAAATCTGCTGAAGTAAATCGTAGTTCACCATCAGTCTGCAGAAACCAGCTTTTAACTTTTCACACGCACACACCCACCAGCACTGTTTTTTCTCCACTCTCCTTTCTTGGCACTGCAAAATTCCTGGTAATATTTTCAAGTCCTGAGCATATCTAACTGAAAGGGCAAAACTGCACGCGTTTTCTCTTGACAAACCCAGCTTCTACCGTCCTCACAGCTTGTCTTTCTTTTGGATGTAACTGGCTCAGGCGTCTGCCTTTCTTCAGCAGGTAGAGGCGGGCAGGGGAAACCTCAGGATTCAATGAGATGACAGCTGCAAAGCCAGCACAAAAGAGTATAGCAGCTCTGTACAGCCGCCGTTTGGAGAAGATAGAAATCTATGGGTTAATGGGAGCTGACCTCTTTTAATTTTGGTACAGAGTTCCATAAAAAAATAAGGCCATCCACATGTACCTGAGCTACCGGTAACATGCACTGCCAGGGAGGAAGGCAGGGAGGAAGGCAAGAGATGCATTCTGCTCTGTAAGAGATATCTTACTCCTCTGAACCTCCCTCAGCTTTTAGTTTTTTACATATACTTGGTGTCAAGTGTTACAGAAGATTGTATGTGCTGGGTTCTTGTTTTAGGGCGAAGAGTTACATTAGGCTCACTAGAGATGAGCCTAGGGGTGGCGTGCCGATGCCGGGGGTGAAATCGATAGCCCAGCTCAAGTGCATCTTGAGGAAGGAGAGGCGGTGGGGTGGCCCTGTATGTTAGGGAGTGTTTCAATTGTCTAGAGCTCAACGACTGTGATGATGATACGGTTGAGTGTTTATGGGTAAGGATGAGGGGGAAGGCCAACGAGGCAGATATCCTGCTGGGAGTCTGTTATAGACCACCCAACCAGGATGAAGGGGCGGATGAAGCGTTCTACAAGTGGCTGGCAGAAGTCTCTCAATCGCTAGCCCTTGTTCTC